CTGTAGGTTGTAGAGTTGCTTTCCAACTAACTACAGAATGCCCAAGAGTGAAAACATAACCAGTCATCGACCTCCTACTATCAACATCTCCAGCATAATCAGAATCTGAATAGCCTGTAACCAAACACTCTGTATCACCTCCATAGATGAGACCAACATCAGATGTACCCCTCAAGTACCGAAAAATTCGCTTCACGGCCAGCCAGTGCTCCTTCCCAGGATTAGTCATAAATCTGCTAACAACACTGACTGCATGTGCCAGATCAGGTCTAGTGCAGACCATGGCATACATCAAACTACCCACTGCACTAGAATAGGGAACCTTAGCCATATACTCCATCTCAGCTTCTGACTGTGGTGCAAGTGTCACTGATAGTTGAGCATTCGCTGCACTTGGAGTATTCAAGGGTTTTGCTGTAGACATGCCAAATCTGGATAGTACCTTCTCAATATAGCTCTTCTGTGATAAGAAAAGCTTTTTCTGACTTCTATCCCTGAAAATCTCCATTCCCAAAATTTTCTGTGCTGCACCTAAGTCTTTCATCTCAAACTCTGCACTGAGAAGACTTTTCAACTTCTGTATATCAGCTTTGTTCCTCGCAGCTATGAGCATATCATCTACATACAAAATCAAATAGATCATCGAACCATCTTCAAGTTTGTTGTGATATACACAACAATCATACTGACTTCTGTTGTAGCCTAGCTCAATCATGTAGCCGTCAAATTTTTTGTACCACTGCCTTGGGGACTGCTTTAATCCATACAAAGATTTCTTCAACTTGCATACATAATCTTCTTTTCCCGAAACATGAAATCCATCTGGCTGAGTCATGTAAATTTCTTCATCTAACTCTCCATGTAGGAAAGCTGTCTTCACGTCTAGCTGCTCAAGTTCTAAGTCCTGATGTGCAACCATTGCTAGTAGCACCCTGATAGAAGTGTGTCTGACCACTGGTGAGAAAATCTCATTGTAGTCTACTCCTTCTCTTTGAGTGAACCCTCTTGCAACAACACGTGCTTTATACTTGATGCCCTCAGCTGGAGAAATTCCTTCCTTCCTTTTAAAGACCCATTTGCAAGTCACAATCTTTCTCTCTGCTGGCCGTTTGACCAATTCCCAAGTGCCATTCTTGTGTAACGACTCCATTTCATCACCCATTGCAGCAAGCCATTGAGTTGACTCACTGCCTGAAATAGCTTCTCTATAGGTAGAGGGCTCGGGAGAATCCACCTCCTCAGCAACTTGAAATGCATAACCTATAAAATCCCGATACCTGCTGGGAGCTTGTACTCCCACTCTCCTTGCACGATCATAAGCAATACCATGCTGCTGAGTTTCTGACGCAGTATGAGATATAGGTGCCAACCTTTCTGCTGATGTAGATTCTGGAGACTCTACTTCTGCAGGAGGTTCAGTTTCACAGGATAGCTGTTGATAATCACTAAATTGCTACTGTGATTCAAAACCATTTTGAATGATTTTTAGCTCCACCTGTTTATCAACACCTGCACTTTCTTCAACAACAGCCTTCACAGGGGGGTTAAATATAGAGTTTTCATCAAAAATTACACTTCTACTAAGTATAACTTTCCTTTCTGAGGGTGACCAGATTCTATACCCTTTAACCCCATCTCCATATCCCAGAAACACTCCCTTTTTAGCCCTTGGTTCTAGTTTACCCTCACTGACATGATAATACGCAGTACAACCAAAAGTCTTCAAATTTGAGTAAGTAGGGGACATACCAGACCACACTTCATAAGGTATCTTGCAGTCTATACCTGTATGAGGTGCACGATTGATCAAGAAGCAGGCCGTGCTCACTGCTTCCGCCCAGAACCTCCTTGGCAAACCAGCATTAAAGAGCATACACCGTGCTCTCTCTAGAAGTGTCTGATTCATGCGTTCTGCTACACCATTTTGTTGTGGTGTGTGTCGAACTGTGTGATGCCGGGCAATTCCTTCATCTTTGCAGAACTCATCGAACTCCTTTGAACAGAATTCCAGACCATTATCAGTTCTCAGCCTTTTGATCTTCTTTCCAGTTTGATTCTCCACTAAGGCCTTCCACTGCTTGAAATTCTTGAAAGCTTCACCTTTTTCCTTCATAACGATTACCCAAGTCATCCTTGAATAATCATCAATCATAGATAAAAAATATCGACAGCCTCCCAAGGACTCAACTCGTGAAGGACCCCAACAGTCAAAATGGATGTAATCCAGTGTGCCTTTTGTCCTGTGAATTGCCTTCCCAAACTTTCTGCGATGTAATTTACCGAAAGTACAATGTTCACAGAATCCAAGATCAGTGACCTTGTGGCCTTCTAGAAGATCACGTTTAGACAGAATCTGCATCCCTCTTTCGCTCATATGACCAAGCCTAATGTGCCACAGCTTGGTCATATCAGACCTGCGATTTTCAGAAGATGCAACAGCAGCAGCAGCAGAACCTGTTAGCGTAGAACCTTGTAAGATGTACAGGGTGCCATGCTTAACTCCTTTGAGAACCACTAATGAACCTTTACTGATGCACAACTCTCCACTTCCTCCGCTGAACCTGAAACCCTTACTGTCAAGAGTACTAAGTGATATCAGATTCTTCGTCATTTTGGGGACGTGCCTGACTTCGTTCAGTGTGGCAATTTTTTCAGTATGTGTCCTGATCTTAATCGAACCGATTCCAACAGCCTTGCAGACAGCGCTATTAGCCATCACGACATTTCCGCCATCTATCTGCTCATATGTTGTAAACCATTCCCTATTTGGACATATGTGATAGGACGCCCCAGAATCAAGAACCCACACATCAGAGTGATGTGTTGGTTCGTTTGCAATTAGGGCCAGGTCTTCTTCTGAATTTTCCGCTTCCTTTTCTGCAACTGAAGCTGAAGCGTGTTGTTTTTCCTGCTGTTTCTTCTTCTTGGGACAATCAGATTTCCAATGACCCTTTTCCTTGCAATAGTTACAGACATCATCCGGCTTAGGACCTTTAGAGAACTGCTTCTTATTTCCGGACTTCTTTTTCCCCAATTTTCCTTTATCACTACTGACAACTAATCCAGCAGCCTGATTATCTGTAACATTACCAGCCGCCTTATGGCGCAATTCTCGACTATGCAGTGCTGATCTTACTTCTTCTAAAGTTACTGTATCTTTACCGCCAATAAAAGACTGAACAAAATTCTCATACGATAACGGTAGAGACACTAACAAAATCAACGCGGCATCCTCATCCTCAATTTTAACATCAATATTACGCAATTCAAGAAGAATTGTATTTAATTGATCTAAATGTTCTCGAAGAGGAGTACCTTCCTGCATACGTAGACCGAACAGACGTTGCTTTAGGAGCAACTTGTTGGTTAAAGACTTCGTCATATAGAGACTTTCAAGTTTAACCCACAAACCCGCAGCAGTTTCTTCACCGGCGACCTCAGTGATGACATCATCTGCCAGACACAGCATGATTGTCGAGTGAGCCTTTTCCTCCAGACTCATCGACTCTTCATCAACGGAATCCGATTTCTTCTTCGTCAGCGGACTCCACAGGCCCTGCTGCTTTAACAGAGCCCGCATCTTAATCTGCCATAAACTGAAACTATTTCTCCCGGTGAACTTGTCGATCTTGATGTTCAAAGCAGACATGTTGTTGCGTGATCCGAGCCCTAGGACAAACCTAGAGCTCTGATACCAGTTTGTTATAACAGATGCAGCGAAACAGAAGAACAAACAAGAATGGACAAGAACAACTTGGGGAAAATCAGATTTTATTAGGGTTGTAACCGGAATAGTTTACAAACTAATATAAGGACATCTCAACGGGGGTTGAAGATCTAATTCAAGACATCTCAACAGAATTGGATACTCTCTGTACGCTAGCCTGAATCATTTCTCGATGCGTCTATTTCAAATCATATGCTTCCAGATATATACGAGGAATTTGTCGGACTGAAAAGGAGTACATTTTATTGCACATAGGATAGGCAAAAGTTGGAGGAATGTTGGCATAAGATTTCTCGGGCACAAATCATATGCTTCCAGATATATAGTCTATCCAAATTGCATTGCACAAATACGTTTAAGAGGAAGTTTTCTCGGGCATATTAAGGAATTTTTGTTCTCCTAAATTTTATTTCACAGATAAGAAGCAACTTTTTTTCACGGATACAGTTATTCAATTACGTTAATACTGGCGACTATCCTCAACTAGACTAGAGACAATTATTACATAAATTAAGAACAAATCTAATCTTGTACACCGAAATAATCTTTTTCTTACTTGAGGTTTTTTTTAATTATATCGCGGAAGATATTTAAATGAAACCTTGAATAATAATTGTATGCATCTGAATATATTTGACGTCACCTAGGAAACTGATAAGAACAGTTTTCATCGAGTTCAAATAATTCATCATTTTAAATGTTCATCAATCCTTTTCATTCAATAACATCAAAACCACAAATTGAAAAGAAAGAAGAAAGGTTGCATGTAGTTTATTATCTAATGCATAAGAAATTAATGGATTAATTACCGAATACTCAATCCCTTGCGATTCTCTCTTTTGTGCCAATTGTAACAAGAAAGCTCACGTACAAGTTGGAAAAGACAAGCAAGCAGACAAGAAAAGTTCTTATCATGTTACAATAGCACATCGTCTAAGATGTTCGGCAAGCATTTTCATCCATTAACATCGAAATACTAAGAAAGGAAAGAAAGACAAAGGGTGCCCTGCCATGATTTTAGAGGGACCAGACAAAATTAAAAGCACGGTACTTCAATATTCGTCACCGCGGGAGAGTACTTTTGTGTTTTTGGAATTCTCGCATCAGTAAACTCTAATGCTTTAAAACTTAACCCCGCAACACTCAAGAGATCATTCCTTAACAATGTCACAATGGAAGTTTTTTGAGCACGTAACACGAGGAATGCCTGCCTTTTTTAAGCTATAAATTAGTTTAAACATGAACCTCGATTATCATAAAATATAAGGAAAGGCTCAAAGAACTGAATATATCGGCCTACTACTGTGATGGCTCAGAACGATAAGGCAGAGAAGCTTAAAATTCTGATGGAAAAAAATACGGAGGGTGGTGAGATAGTGAGGGAGGCAGAGAGCGGAAAAAATATTGAGAGTGGTGAGTCATCGAGCAAGGCAGAGACGCCTGCTGAGAGGGTGACCAAGGAAGAGGCGCATAAAATTATGGCCGGAAAAAATATCGAGCCGCCTGCTGGGTTGGTGACCGACGAAGAGATGCGTAAAATTATGAAGATCCGCAGTAAGAATTAATCAGTTTGTGGATTTTGGTATATATTAAATCGAAGCTTAATTGATTTATATTACTTTATATAGCTTTATGTCAAAGTTCTATTTCATATTTAGTTTGGGTGATTGGAAAGTTTTGGTTTGAGTCTATGCCGCACTGGATTGGTAACCCTGTACTAAATTATATTGTAGCCGATGCTTTTCAAAGATGGTTTAAAAAATTACAGATTAGAAGCTATTAGGTTGGTTTAGTTTGCTAAGACTCAGTTTAATTACTTCAGGGAAGGAAAGTTCGAATTCTAATCCCACAATAAGTAGCCTACGTTGGTTGGCAATGCATAAAAACCATTATAAAACGTTGCAAATTTTGGTAATCGTGACATTGGAGAAATCTTTCCCTCCTATACTTTTTAGTACCCAAAAAAAAAAACCTTCGCCTCCTAAGTTGAAAATATATATGTATTACATATATCTTGTGCATTATTGATGTGGTGAATAAAATAAAAAATTGTTCAAAATCTTCTTTAGACCAGCTACGTTAATAAACAAGTTATGTTGGATCAATCTGAGCTTGACTTGGGGCAAAATTTAGTTGAATTCAAGTTCCACAAAACTATGCATCTAGCTTTGGAGAAATATGGGGTCGGCCCTAGTCAAGCCGGCCTACCAGTCAGTTCAGTTATAAGTATTCAAACCTTAATTTTGTATAAGTTTTTAAGAGCAATAAAAGAGTGCACAAATATTTGTACAACTTATGGAGAGTTTCATGTTGATGCACACATAAATTTAGGGCTTCTTATACTTACAACAATTTTATATTGAGTGCGAGTATGGTTAGAAATCTTATGGTTAGTGTTTTTATTACGAGTCCCTTCTGAATTCATCTGAATCTGCTAGACGACGCCAATTTGGAGGCATTAAGTCCAGGAGGACCGGAGTATCCGGATCAGCAAATTACTAAAGCTGATTCAGCCAATATCGCAGAACTATACAGAGCAGCAATGAAAGGAAAATGGAAAGATGCTAAAGCCATATTTCGCAGGAATGAAAATGCAAAGACCACAAAAATATCCAACCTTGGCATGACAGCCCTTCATGTAGCGGCGAGCTGTGGGCGGTCGGAGTTTGTGGTGGAGTTGGTGAAGACCCTATCTGAGCAGCAGCTTGAAGACAGAGACACACTTGGCTGCACTGCTCTTCATCACGTGGCCTTAGCTGCAGATGTGGGGGCTGCCAAAGCAATGGTGGAGAAGAACTCAGATTTGCCTAACCTTGGGGACCCCTATCGCCTTACTCCCCTCTACTATGCTGCTAAATGGCGACATCCATCAGACGGCAAGAAAATGGTGGATTATCTCCACCAAGTTACCGAGGACAAAGAACCTTGTCTTCCCTTCACGGGTTATTCATCTGCTGATCTCATTGTGGCAATCATTTCTTCGGGGTCCTATGGTAAGCCCATATAGGATAAATTCCATTCCATCGAACGTTTTCTTTACTTTTCTTAAGATCGAAAAAAAAAAGTCTATCTATAAGTACAATTTACTGAACAAAATAAATAAATAAATAAAGGAGCAACAACAGGACCTGAAGCTTATGAAATCAACGCAAAATATTGGTAAGAAGCTTGTGTGAGGGACAAAAGACGTAAATTCATGGACAAAATTCTTAAAAACTTTCAAATTTGAAGACGGAAAAAACATTATAAATTTCTAAAACTTGGGTTTGGGGGTGGTTGCCTTCTATATCCCCACTTCCTTCCTTGCCTCTGAAATAATAAGGACCTTTTGCAAAAATTGATATCTAAATTAAGTTCTTTTAAACCAACTTTGCTAATGATAATAGGTTTCTTTTGCAGATACAGCTTTGCGTACGCTCAAGAAATATCCTGGATTAGTTTTTGAACGAAATCATGAAAAAATGTCCATACTTCGTGTACTTGCAATGCAGCCTTTAGCATTTCGGAATGGACATAAACTTTCTTTATGGAAATCATTGATCTATACATGTAAGTACTCTCTCAAAAAAAAAAAAAAATTTTTCTCTTACAGCCTCATCCTGAGATTTTCTGATTTGTATATTATATATTCTAGAAAATTTTTTTCTTTATTTAACTTTGACAAACAAATATCTACTTGAATCTGCCTTTATTTAAAGTAATTAGACTTTCTGTTTGAAATGTAATAAGTGTTTCGAAGACGAAAAAAGACTTACCTTTGCCTCTCTAGATTCCAAGGTAATGGAATTTAGCAAATGTATAAATGCGAAGTGAAAACCAATACCTTACTGATATCTTGCTACTAATTAACAACTCTTCAATAACGGAGCCAAGCTATGGACTTTAGGTCCAATTTTATTTTTGTGTGCTTGAAAACTATTATTAATTAAGTAAAAAAATTTCTCCCCCAAGTGGGATGCCTAATGGGAAGCACAAAATAAAGATGTTTACCCATCTAAAAAATATAGGACTTCTGCCTCTCAGATGACTCGAATTTATTAGTACTGACTATCAACTGCACTGCTATGGAGTACGATCTTGATTTATTTTATCAGTTCCCAATTTGTGTGATGTTATTCTAATTTTCCATTGCTTTTAGTGGTGCAAGTTGATGCGGAGGAAACAAAACACAAAAACTTCCATTCACCTGCAGATGTTGCTAAAAGCACAGCAGTTTCATTCTTCCTATTTCTGAGCAAGTTCAGTAAAGGTATTAAAGTTTTGGGTCTGCTTTATCTTTGTTTATAACTTTAATTTGTTTTGGGGGAAAATAATGAAACAGTAAATGATATTAGTTCTTTTACCACTAAGTTGGTTTTCCAAACAATTTTTCACTTTTCCAACATGTTATCGCACTCAAAGTACATCAAGAAAAAATACTACACCATTATTCTGTAAGTAAGGTTTCGAAATAAGGGAGCTGTCCGAAATAAAGAATGCAAACGTAAATCTTGTGGATACTGACTTGTCTTGTCTTTCTGTTTGCCGCAGGAGTAAGGGAGTTGTCCGAAATAAAGAAAGGGCACCTGCATGCACTTAGACTTGTAGATTTTGTCTGCGAGGAGATAGAAGAGAAAAGATACAATTCTGTTCAGGAATACTTCTTCCCCAATGACAATACCCCAATCTTACACTTAGCCACAGAGCACGGAGTTTTTCGACTTGTACAAGAGTGTCTAAATCGTTTTCCTGATCTAATTTGGTATGCAGACCAAACTACCAAACGGTTGTTATTGCATGAAGCTATTGAGCATCGTCGAGTGGAGATATTCAATCTCATGGTTACTTTGATCGGAAAAAACACAAAGGCCTATGCCCATTTAAACGATAAAGGGGAAAATAATTGCCTTCATTTGGCAGCAAAATTGGCTCCTATGCCTCAACTCCATTCTGTCCCCGGTCCTGCATTTCAGATGCAGCGAGAATTGCAATGGTTTGAGGTACACAATGCAATGTTGTAGTAATTCGGTTTAAACTGTCTTTGCGACATCGTGGATTACTTTCTCATCCACGTAAGTTTTTTGCTTAACCAACCCCGGCCGTTTGAAGCACACATCATACTTTTGGATTTTTCTTTATTCTATTTTTGGTGTTACGGCTAACATTACACCATATTTTAGGATGATAGTTGTCCAAATGAGGACTAGTAAGTATAAATTAAATGGAAAATTATCACTTTAAAATATATAGTGGAATAGAAATGAAAACCAGATAGTGTAACAGTGTACCCAAATTAATGCCTTTTGTAGATCCTTAATTTTCTCATTTTGCGTTATGATCGTTGTTTCACTATAAATTAATTTCCCTAGTATTAGCAAATGAAGTTGACGCTTAAACCTAGATTAATCCCTTAATTCACTATATGCAGGCAGTGGAAGCAATAGTCTATTATGAGTTAAGGACAAGAAAGAACGACAAAGGAAAAACTCCTCGAGAATTATTCTTCGATGAGCACAAAGATTTGCTAAAGGATGCAAAGGAATGGATGAAGGATACATCAAACTCGTGCATGGTCGTAACTACTCTGGTCGCAACAGTTGCATTTGCTGCTATGATCACCGTACCCGGTGGCAATGATAGTGAGACGGGCATGCCAATACTGGCGAGGAAAAGACTTTTCGCTGCATTTTCCATAGCAAACGCATTATCCATGATATGCTCTGCAGTTTCTCTGCTTAGGTTCCTTTCGATTCAAACCTCGCGAAATACAGTAGATGATTTTCTGGAGGCACTTCCCAAGACTTTGGTCAGGGGTCTAATTTTCTTATGTATTGCTGTAGTCACAATGATGATATCGTTCGGCACGGCAATTGGACTGTCACTTGAATCAAGGCTTAACTGGGCTTACATTCCCGTCACCATCGTGGCCTGTTTCCCTGCCATCATCTTCATCAGGTTGCATCTGCCTTTGCTTTTACGAACAATATTATTCCGCTATGGGCCTGGCATTTTTGGAGAACAAAGGAATGGCAGGCTTTGGCGTCTCAAGAAAATTGGCTATCGTCTACTGGCAGAAGACATGGCTTGACCTCCTCCCACAATATGCTCCTACTTAATTTACCATAGCTTGACTTTTTGAAGGATTGTTTGCATGAGATTTTTTTTTTTTCCTTTGATAGGGTGTAATTTTATCATTTATTTTATTATTAATTTTTCCTATTACCTGACCCGATGTGGATTAATTGCTGGATTCTACTCATTTTTAGTGTTTTGCATATATTCCAGGGAGTAAACCGAAAATATGATAACAAGTGCTAATTTGACAAAAAAGGAGTCTAAGGCACAGAGCTCACCCCAGGAGCATTGTTGGCAAAGGCAAGCTTATGCCCATTTTAGTAATTGCCGAAGACAAAAGCATTAAAAGGAGCAACGAAGGGCTGAAGGCAGGGGTCGGCTTCTTCCTCTCCGGAAGGAGAGCCGCCGCAGAGGAGATAGGAAATATAGAAATAGCATAGGACTAGCACTACGGAAGCTTAGCTTTTGATTTCTCTTTGGAGAGCTTTTCGTCTTGTAGCTTAGCCGCAGTTGTTGACTTTTCTTCTTAGTCTTTGTTAGTTAGCTTTTTCTTACGCATGGAAGATTGCTGAGGAGCTTAGCTTATGTCTTTGATTCTGCCTATTCAATTTCTCTTCTCCGAATGTCGGGCAAAAGCGAACACACTCAGTGGACTCTTGTAGCTTTCTTTCTTTATTGAATAGACGAATTGAATTCGCCCAGCTTCCCAATTGATGGCCGCAGCTTTTGCAACAATTTCTGGCGGATTTAGTTCATCAATTATGAACTAATTTTCTTTCTCTAGTCAAGGGACAATGGATGCTTTGGATTGCCTAAAACTTGTGAGATCGATTTAATTTTATCTTTTTCTCTTATTTATTGGTATTTGCATATTCCCTGATTGCAGTGCTTATGGTTGTTTAATTAATTGATTGTCTTGGATCCGGATAATTAGTTAATTTAATAATCTATTGTCAATTGAGGTGTTAAATCCGTAATTGTTTAATTGTCTCAAAATAGTGATAACTGGCATGATTGGATTTGTGTCAGGGGAATACGCGGGCTAATCTAAAATAACCCTGGTAGTGCGTTATTTGGTTAGAATAGGGCTCCTCTAATACGTAAGGCAATTGAGGAATTAAATTCTACGGGCGTACCTAGGATTATTTCTCAATTAGAACAGTGATTAACGGGCGTACCTTGATCACCGACACAGTAAGGAGGGGTTGACTGTCATCGCTTGTTTGGCAGTTATAACCTATTTATTAGTAAATAATTGGAATTGCCTTTGCTTATCGATGATCAATTAGGTGCACCTTTGCTGAAGTTATTCCTTGGCTAGATCCTTAATTATCACTCATTTGATTTTAGTAATTTGTTATTTAATTTTTAGTAGTTTTTTATTTTAGTTGAATTTCTTTGATTGTCACCTTCTGCATAAAAACACTCCCCTTGTCACTGTGAGCTTGAAAAGAAATAATTACTCCCAGTCCCTGTGGATTCGACCCTGCTCACCACTATCTACAGAAACTACTTTTAGTTTGAGCAGGTATTTATTATTGCACAGGTTTCGACAACCTGTCAATTCTTGGCGCCGTTGCCGGGGACTGGCGCTAGTTATTTGTTTCTTTTTCAATTCATCTTGTTTACATTTTTTTATTTAGTTTATGGCTTCTTACACTCCGTATTTTGGTGATATACTGGATTTTATTTCCGGGGAAGGCAATGAGGCTAGTTTTTTTGTGAGGTCTGCATATGCAGAGGCACTAAACTCTGTTAGAGAAAGAATGGCTGCTGCAACCTGTGAAATTTGTTATGCCAGGGATCATTCAACCGGTATGTGCCCCGAATATCAAGACTACCTGAGTGACTATCTCAAAAAAAAATTTAGAGATTCTTCACCTCGATCTCAAACGTGGTATGACCCTTATTCAAACCGGTATGATCAAGGATGGTGGGATAACTCTAACGTTAATTATGAAGAGGGGTCAATGAGTTTTCAGCTGCAAGAGTCTCAACAATCGTCATTCATGTCAGACTTGCCCTCACAGACCATCAATGACTCTAAGAAAGGTGAGAGTGCAATTATCCTGACAAGTGATATGGAACTGCAAGAGTCTTAAGAAGGAGGATCCAAAGATACAGTTGAAAAGGAAGTTGAAGCGGAAGACATGAGACTCCAACATCAAAGTATTCAAGTGAATGAATCCAGTGAACAAATTCCAAATGCGGTGACATCTTCTCCACTCTTTAATCAATATTTTCCTAATTCCTCTTCTTCAATTCCTGTTACTGAAATTGATTTTATTATACCAGAAAATTTGAAATTTCATGACAGGAATAAGTTAAGAGTGGCAATGGAAAAATATCTTGAACCGATGAATGCGTGTGGTAGAGGAGTGAGTGGAGAATGCAGATCATTGTTGACTTGTTTAGCACCATTTACTAGTCCATGGAAGCCCGTAACTCGTGTGCTCAAAGATTACTCCATCTATGAGGGTTACCAGGATCATATTGAAGATGAAGCATTGAAACGAGCCACAAGATTTTATCCCCCATGAACAAGCATAGCATGTCTAGCCAAAGACATTAAAGAAAGGCGCTCATTGGGAGGCAACCCAATTGTTTCTTTTAATTGCTTGATTGGTTTCGTGTCATAGTTTAAATCTGCTTTCCTTGAATTTGACTGATTTTGGGTGTTAATTTTCGTTTTTGCTGATTTATAGGTGCCCTTCAGTCATGACGCGCCCGCGTGGTGATGTGCAGGGAGCTCACGATCAGAAATTTCTGAAACTTCTGGGAGCTCTCCTGCCCTCTTGACGTGCCCGCGTGGGGACGTGCAGGAAGCTCACGATCAGAAATTCTGAAACTTCTGAGAGCTCTCTTGCCCTCATGACGTGCCCGGGTCACGTTCGCGGGAAAGGTAAGGATTCAAAAAAAAAAAAAAAAAGAACAAAGAAAATTTTTCTTATCAACGTAGCTTTAGTTTCCAAAATTCAAAAAAAAAAAAATTTAAAAAAAAATTGATTTCCGTAGAAAAATTTTTTTTTTCTTTTCCTTCTTTTCTTTCTTTCTTTTTCTCTTTCTTTCTTCTTCTTCTTTCTTCTTTCTTCCCCTGCTCCCTCTCTGTTGCCCGCCGCCCACTTGCGCCGCAACCCCCATCACGCAGCAGCCTACCGCCGCAGCTCTCCCATCTCTCTTCTCTCTGGTCCACCGCCGCCACTCAGCGGACCTCCACCAGCCCGCATCGCCGCCCGCCAGACAGTGCCGTCCACCACATCGCCTCCACTGTCCGCAACCAGCCGCCGCCCGCGACCCCACCGCTCCACCAGAGCGCGGCTCTCCGTCGCCAGCCGCGGCCCACCTTGCGCGCTCCACCGCCATCTTCACCTCCATAGCGCGCCGCTCGCTCCTGCTCCACCGTTGACCGCCGCTGTTTTCATCGACACCGCCGCAACCCCTCACGCGATTCCGGCACAACTGACACCCACTACTGTCCCATTTCGTCTGGCTACTACCTACGGTGGAGGTAATTGGAAGTTGCCCCCCCTAATTTCTTCATTTCGTTCGGTTGGCCACCTGGTTAACTGCTGAGGTTTTGTGATTGGGTTGTAATTGTTCAATTTCTGAAATGCTGTCACTGGTATGCCATATTATTGGGGCCCTTGTTACGATTTGACTACATTGGGTGGGCTGGTGTTGTGAAATTTTCTTTTGCTAATTAGGACGGCAGCTCTGCCTGTGTTTTGATTGTTGAAATTCTCAATTGTTGGCATTGATAGTTGTTATTTTGGTTTATCGGTGGCCGGCTAGTGGTAGTGTGTGATTTCTTTTCCACAGTTTACTACACCAGTGGTACTGGTGAGGTAATTGGACCTCAATTGCATACTTCTATTTAGTTGACCAAGTGATCATTGTCCAATCCCTGAGCTGTTATCATTGAAATTAATAATTTTGAGTTGCGACTTTTATTGGCCAACTGGAGCCATTTGTTGGGATTTTGGGTGAGCTGAAATAATGCAACTGTCTATTGACATTTGGGCGATTTGATTCTGCTTTTGCATGTTGAATTGGAATATCTGGCCGCTTGTTTTACTTGTGAGATTGGTAGCATTTATTAATTATGGAAGACATCCTGGTGATTGGCTAATATTGCTATTTTGGGACCATTGTTTGTGACCTCAGCGGCCGGGGTTCCCCAACTGGTGGATTAGTACATACTTGGTGCTATTGCTTTACTACTGCTTTGATCTGCTATAGCATTTGTTGAAATTTCTGGAGATATTTGTTGAAATTTTAGAATGTATTTGTTGAGATTATGAATGGCCAAGTTTGCTTGTTGACTGACTGAATTAGGTAGTCCCTATGCTTATGGACGTGACTTTGCTAGTTTTCAGTTGTTGATAATAGTTTCTGGTTGTTGATTTTGGAGTGCAGCTGTGCTTTGCTGACCATATTTGGGTCGGGGTGGCCCGCGTTTACTTTTAATTGTTGAGTTGGGGTACCCCAGTGACTATGAATGTGCATTTGTGATTGCTATCTTGTTGGATATTCTGTCTTTTGTTGTTTGGGGTGATAATTGGCGTCAATGGTGAGTGGCGCCACTTACAAGCACAGGTTCACAACGTAGATGAGCGAATGACGAACATCACCCACCAAGTGGTAAGGATGTCTCAGAACTCGGCTTCCCTCCACTGTTCCCTCCTATCCCTTAGCTGTTCAACAGGGAAGTTTCATTGTTCTCTTCGCTTTCATTACTTTATTACCTTCATTGAGAACAATGTAGGATTTAGGTGTGGGGGGAGCAGTTATGGTGCTAGTGTCTTTCATTCATTTTCTTTTTCTTCTTTTTAGTGATTGGCTCGTAAGTGCATGCCAAAATTTGATGTTGGATTGTTGTCTCTATTTCTACTTTTGCCAATTTTAATAATAAAAGAGTATCAAGTTAATGTGGTTGAATCCAAAAACATCTCTTTGGTGAATATCGATGATTGTTTTACTCTTATAATTTTTGGTTAACTTTCCTAGGCATAGGGAATGATTATTGGCATTTTCATGTGAATTGGTCCGGTTATTAACTTTAGTTCTCCATGTTTGAAAATGAGACTAGCTGATGCAAGTTTTCTTTTGGTTCTTGAGTTATATTGAGTTTTTGTGATTTTTAGCTATGCATAAACTTGACTGTACTCCGCTAGTATTTACTACCGAGTAACCGGGGATTTTCACCAAAAGTGTTGATTCTCGCGTCAAAAGGTAGTAATTGCTATGAGTACGTGGTCACGTGGCGATAGAAGCTGAGTAACCGGGCTCTTTCATCTGGCCAATGTTGGAGTTCGCGTCAAAAGGCTCCAATGGCTAGCGACTAAGTCTTTTGTTACTATTGAGAAAAGAAAAAAAATCAAAAAAAAAAGAGAAAAGAAAAAAAAAAGAAGAAGAAAAATGTGAAAAAAAAGTGAAGGTTGTGTTAGTGTGTAATAAAAATCAGCTTGCCGAATTATGGATTTAATGTTGAGATTTTGGTTAATAGTTGGACCATTTGCTGATAAATGTTATGCGTCATTCATT